TTCCAGATAAGATGACACTATAAAAAGTTCTTCAGATCTTACAGGAACCCTCCTTTTAAAGATAAAAGCATCAACATATGATGAACCGAGAGCGAAGTCAGCGCAGCAGGACTATGTGAAGAGCACAGACTCACCCACGTGGCCGATGAACACCACATTGACGTGTTCTTTCTTGGGCGCGTCTGGCAGAGCAGGAGCTACTTTAGGCAAAGGCATCTCCTCCTCCTCTTCCATCATCTCCTCCTGCTGAGGGTCCTCCGCCGAGCCCATGTTCCTGTAGGGCCCGCTTCGACACTCTGCCTCACCAGGCTCCTCCTTCTGCTCCCATGATTCCTCTGTGTTCATCTCTGTCTCTCCATTCTCCACCGGCGCTACAGAAAAACCACATGAGCATGTCAACAGAGGAAGATGTGTGGCATGAACGAACACAGGCAGAAAATGGCCCGAAATCATTCATTAGCAACAAACGCTTCTCAAGCCATAGCACTCATTCTGTCTACAGGAAGCTGACAATGATTAAACATGAATGTCTCCACTAGTTTACAGCTAAACACTTCAGAACAAAATCACCCCAATGGAGGCAAACAGTAGCCCCCAAAGAAAAAGAAGTGTATATCAGGTGTTGTATTTTGCAGTGGTCCCTCTTCTGTGATTCTTTGCATATAAGCAATGCTTTCTTTGCCTAGTCAGATGAATTAAGCAGTTCACTGGCCATGTACAAAGGCCTCTACTATTCCCGCTGAATATTTACCGTTTACAAACAGCGTCAGTATACAATAGCAAAGACAAAGGCTAAAGTATCAAGAGAGATTTCGATTTACAGAGTTAAAATAACTTTAAAGGAAATCTCCATACAAAACATACAAACGGGGCTTTTAAACATTCCATCCCATTCCATCCCCAACTACAGCATGTCCAGTTAATGCCTATTAGAATGAACAAACCAGCCGATTAAAAGCATGATGCAGATAACTCGCAAACAGCAACTCATTGCAAACTTTTAGAAAGAACCACAAGATGCAGTTTAGAAATTACAATTATTAATCCACAACTTAGCCAAAATGTAAAAAACAGCTCTTTTTAAGTTAAATTAAGCTAGGCAAAATTCAAACTGGGTTCATAAATCAGGGTATTTCTGGGGAAAAGAGGTTTTTTCAGGAACAATGTGTAAAAAATTTACCACCATCATCAATCTCAAAAGCTTTGTTTGAATCTAGGATTTAATGGCTTTTCTTACTTCGGAACATATGCAGTGGAAGTTCTATCCACACAGACTTGTAGACTTGGTGTTTATCTTACTGCATTCCAGCTTTCTACAGGGTCTAACCAAAAGATAAATGCTGCCAGTTCAGCACACATCTGCTCAGTCCTCACTACAGCAGGAGACTGATATAAAGTAGGAAGGGAGAAAAAATATGCTAATCAGTTTATAACAATTTATTGTTAAACAGAAGAGGAAGATTTAAAATGCAGTGAAGATAGTTGTCACAAGAACTAATAAGAAATTAGAATAGCAACATATGTAACCTTAAATTAAACCAAATCTCACATATACCTTAAACCAAATCTCACATATACATGTATAGACATATACGCACCAAGTGTTTCTGAAACCTCCATTGTGGCTCCTGTATCATTTCCTGTGGAGAAAGAAACAGTGTACATACCTTGTGGGTTACTACATTAATAACATCACCCAATAAAAAGAAGTGTAAACTGCTTTACATCACGCAACATGGGATTTTTCACATTCTTAAGGTACGGTTTCTACATTTTCTGCAGTACTTTAGTCTGCAGGATGGCACACCTTATATTCCCTACTATACCACCTCCATAAATAGCCTATCCGAGTTCTTGAACAAGACACAGGTATATATGCCAATATTCAGATTTACAGAAACTACGGTAAAAACACTGCATGGGAGGGGTAGATTGGTTAGATTTCTTTATATTCCACTCCTAAGAGAAGTAACCAGTACAGAATCAAATAATGATTACTGTTTTTCTAACAAAAATTAAATGTACCACTTAGGTTTAAGGTGAATTGGGTTTAGACTTAATGGAGCATTTAGGGTTAGTGTAAATTGGGCTTAATCTTACAGTAGTACTTAGAATTACAGTGAATTGTTTCAGTTAAATATACCATTTAGAGTTCAGGTAAACTGGGTTCAGTCTTAAAGTACCGTTTAAGATTAGGTTAAACTAGGTTTAACTAAAACCTAGTATCGTTTTGAGTTTGGGTAAATTGGGTTTAACCTTAAAGTCGTACCAACCTTACGCTACTTAGCGGTTTCTTTTGGAGAATGAGCTCTGGTTAGCGAAGAGCTCGCCTCCCCGGGCGTATAACCCTAACCCCGGTTAGCTGTGGAGACCGTTACACCACGGACGGAGCTGGGGCCTGAGTGAGCCACCGTGGAAAGCGACGACAACATTCACGGGTTATATTTAACCTGAGGAATCCCGGTCAGCAAGCGCTTCCATATGCCTCCGTCCGCAGATCAGCGCCTAGGTGGCTAGTCAGCTAGCTTCCCCCAAGCAGCCAGCTGCACATGCTAACGCGTTTTTACCGCTGATACCAGCTGTCATCTTACCGCCGGCCTCGGGGTCTTCCGAAGGCCCTCTCTGGAAAAAGGCCGGGACGAATTCGGGAGCATTGATGTTGGGGACGAACGGCTTGGCGTTCACGTTGAGGGCAGTGAAGGCGGACTGGAGCTGCGCGTCGCTCGGGGCCTCGACTTCGTCCTCCTGCTCCCAAGAATCAGGGGCAGTGTCTCTCGAGTCCATCGCGGGTCTTGTTACTGCGGCTAACTTGCTAAGTGGCGGCAACGACGTAGTTAGCTTGATAGCCACTCTCCTAAAACGTGCCTTAAAAGTGACCTATTACATGTATGATAATCTTTACTATTTTGCTAAGAAATGCTGAGCCGGTTCAATACGGCGACACTACAAAAAGAGAGCGGTGCAACTCAGCACTCAAAGCAAGTCCTCGTGTGTGCCGACGAGTCTCCCTAACCAGAGGCAGCGCCGTCGGTATCTTGCATTCTGGGATATGGTGTCTTTATGTAGGTATTTCCAAAGCGAGTTCGATACATTAAAACTACATTTCCATGCATCAAGCAAAGGCATCAGCGCTGACCTTAAGGAAGATTTGTTTATGGGAATTGTGGTCTATTTTATATGATCGCTGAAGTATCGAACGCGAAAGACATGCAAACAGAAGAAAAGATCTTTTTTTTATTTTAGCACACGATTGGTGTTTCTAATGGCTATTGTACTGAGAATGCCTATATAAAGAAATGTAGTGTTACACTATTGTTCTCAAAATATTATGTCTTATATTGATAGTAAAATAAATCAAACTACATACAGTCTCGACGAAAAAGTGCTAAGCGAGTCAACCATGCAAGGCCAACGCAACATTGCATTAAGAAAATAGCAGTTGCAGATGGACCCAGAATGCGTTTCGCTTTTATATCGTTTATAAGTGGTTGGTAAATTGTAGTCTGTATAAGATGCTTCGGAGAAAATATTTAAATAAATGTTGAAAAACTAGCTTCCTGTTATTTTAAGCGAAACTGCTGCACCGGTTAAAAAAAGTTGGACTTGAAAAGTACAGTGAACAACAGTAAAAGAACAAAAGTGTAAAATGCCTAGTATGCCACATAACCTGCGACGCTCTATTAATCTTTCTGTAATCCCGATGGTTTGACATTTGTGCGTTTCTATATCCCCTTTGTTGGAAATGTGTTATGTTTATTCATATTGTACAGGATGCTCCCAATAAGGTTGAATAAAAATAATTCGAAATGGGAATTGGTAAAAACTTGCTTAAATGATACTTGATAAGCTGATATGATATAAGCTGTTACATATTTTCCAACAATTTAACCGGAATGCGCTCACTGGGATATGAAAAAAACGTTCTTCCTGTATGCTTAGTCAGCACCAAAATAATCCCGTAAGATAGCCAACAATCTCTTTTTTTCAAAAATGATTTTATAAATGACAGAAACTGCTTATTTTTCATATTTTTATAATCATATTAATCGTGTTCCGTATGTTTATACACATACTTTCAAGATGACTAATATAAATGTGTATCTTCACTAATTACATTGATGATCATGGGGCGCAGGAACCGGGCGAACTTGTACTCACGAATATTTATAATTTGGCTCGATTACCCCCCCTTAATAAACAGACCTTTGCATTTAAATTAGCTTATTAAGTTGTATCCCCCCAATATCAAACTATTTCTTACGCCCTTAATGACAATGTCAAAAGTGTGTGGTTGGCGGCCAGAATTCATAACCAGCTGATTATGAATTCTAAATTATTGAAAGCGGTTACTGTATGGAAATAAAACTGAAGCAGACAGTGCCCCAAGGTTGAAATCTAATCAAAGTACTCATCAGAGTGATACAGTGCTTAACTCTCTTCACTCCGGAGTTAAGGTTAACATTAAGATTAAGAATTTTGTTATTGGAGGCAATTTTGCTAATATGAAGTTCACACGAATCAAAGTTTAAAAATTACACTCATGTTTTACATTCAGTAAGTTCAAATAAAAACGTTCTACTACCATTGACGAGAACAATCATGCCTCATTACATACTCAAATAAGAATTGATACTAATATTTGGAATAGTTTATTAGCCATATTAATATTACGCCGCCCTCTGCTCGGTTGGTTAACAGATCATGTAAAGGAGGTCTACCTCCCTCATGTGGTTATAAATAATTTAAAATAAAGTATTCTGCGCTTGAGCAAGATCATATGTTTTATAAATATGAGGTGAATATTAAATATATAATTTAAAATAAATTCAAGTAATGTTTATTTGAATAAACAAGCTGGAAATACAACGATGGAAAAACCAGCAACAACAATCCGCACACGTCGCGCAATGCATTGTGGAATATGTAGTTTGTTTATAAGTTTTTTTTTCAACGGGAAGTTGAACGTAATGGAAATACACCTGACACGTGACATTCTGACGGAAGTACGGACATGGATTCAAGGGGTTTCATTACATGGAGTTCACGCTCTTAAAGGAATGAATTAGTGGGCTAGTCGCAGTAAACATATTACATTTATGTTGTCATATTTATACTCTTACTTATTCTTACTTGAAAATAGTAGAAAATAGAAATGCCGCTTCTTGTCCAAAATAAGAAAATTGAACGATTACGTTCCACAGCGGGTTTATTTGCTAAACATCCGCATTTCCAGGTAGGTCTCTGCGTGCATTTCAAATAATTTAGGCTCGCTGGAGTCACTGGTATTCTGAATACGTAAGGAACTCGTTTTCTCGTAGGAGAATGCCAAAGCGTTTCGTGCTAAGGCACTTGAAAATGTCGACACAAAGTGCCTTCTCTATGTGCAACAGAGAGAGTTTGCGGCTACAACCCCGGCTGATAGTAAGTTCCACAATGCCTGTGTATGGAAACAGTTTGTATGATCAGATTTTTACTAGGGACTGCCAGCACTGTTCACTGATTTAATATCCATATGACGACGGTGTATAAAGATCAGTCACAATTTTACATGGAACCTCAGGCAAGTTAAGTAAAGAATATGACATTTCCTTGCAGCCAGACATGTCAGCAGCAGAGGACATAACCAGTATAACAATATAACTCATCACTGTAAAAACAGTGCTGAACACTTAACAGGAAGAAAATAAATTTGGTCACACCTTTTACAGAAACAAAGTGTTATGCCAAGAAAGTCCTTTCCTGCTTCTAGCACACATTTAAATCTTATTAAATATAAACCATTTTTCCAGAATCAGTCACTGTGCTCGGCTCTGATGATGCAACAACCTGCCACTTGGTAGTACTACGGCACACAGGTAAGGCTCCCTTAAGGTGTGTGATTCCATGTATGAAGCATATTCTTGAGCTTGCTCCAGACATTGCGGTCTTTCAAAGGAAGTGGAGCCACGTGTCTGGCTCATTGTGATGGCTCCAGCACCTGGACCGAAGTACCCTCCATTGTCAAAGCTGTCACCACACTGAGCGGCAAAGCCAGCGGAGGCAGGTAGGTGAGCCAGCTTCTGCATGGAAAGCTAAGTTTTGCTCAGTCCTCCCCTGGTTCCCATACTCTCTGCCCTTCAGGTTGGAGCTGCATCTAATCGGAGGTTTCGATGATGACAGGAAGACGTCACACCAGCTGAGCCTTAATCTCCTGGGTAAATTTCCCTTCCCTTTTTAAGCTCACTGGAATGCATGTGGAAACTGGGCATGATAGGAGTGTACCGTTTCAGGAAAAGTAAATGTTTCATTTTTTGGCAGCGGCTTTTCAAAAGCAAGAAGAAGACATTCACTTGGTCACATGCTGCATTACAGGTAGAAGCTCACCTTGCTTCTGTCCCCTTTCTGTTCTCTCTGTTGTATGTTTCACTCAAGACCTTTAACCTGATAGTCTTTTGCTCTCTTTAGAGCTAAATGACGTTGTAACTGATGGGATACACAGACCAGCAGTATATGGAATTGGTAGGACCATATGAGTACATATGCTTTGCTGACCCGCTTGTGAGGTGGTTGTGTGTTGACACCTCTGTCTCTCTCTAGGAGTCAATGTGAAGACTGGGGACGTGTTCCCAGCCACCTTCTCTAGGCGGGGACCTGCAGAGGAGCTCCGCTCAGCCCAGACGTTCATTGGCAGACAGGTGTGCAGCAGCTGTTCACGAGGTTGCCCTCTGTAGGCTGTCTGTGCATGCCTGCTCGGACAGGAAGTTCCAGGCCCTTAGTCTGCCTGTTAGTCACAAGAGAGGAAAAACTGGGGGGCGGATGAGGTTTCTTTTTGGAAGGACAAAGCTTGTGCTTTTTACAGATGGTCGAAATCTATGACTCGAGTAAGGAACTTGTGAAAATCGGTCCATGCGAGTGGTCCCCGAATAGAGAACTTATCTTCTGGCTGACCCAGGATGATATCACAATACTGCAGGTAAAGGCAGACCGATGCATCCATTTCATGTTTGCTCTGTTGCCTTTGGTTTGCAACTCTTGGTGTCTAAAGATGTTTGTTGACTCTGCTGCTGAGAACTTCATGCAAAGGCTTGTTTCGTTTGCCTCGCCAGTACTTGTCCACGTCTCCAATGGCTGAACCTCCCCACTTCGTCCAACACATTAAGATGACCATCCAGTTCTTGCTGGAACACCCCAGCGCAGACAGCCTCTTTCCAGGAGGGCTTCCTCAGACCTTCCGCAGGACAGAGTGTGGAGCCTGGGAAAGGGAAGCTGAACAGTAGAGATGCCTTCCTATGTCGGACGTATGAGAGCTTTAAAAGCTGAACCTCCAGGACTCAGTGACTCCCCTGGCCCCCTGGGCCTGTCCAGTGGGACTCCCTCTGACCACCGTCCCCAAAAGGCTGTGCCAATGATGGGGTTTTTCTCCTGTCCTCCTGCTGAATTGTGCTTGTTTCTTTACTCCACAGTGTGTAATATTCTTCGTGGATTTAAGATGAAAAGAATCGTATGAGGAAGATCTGTTGTAAATCTGTATACCTTTTTATACTGAAGTGAACTTTATGCTACCTATAAGGGGTGTATATATATGTATACTAAACATACATAACCAATCAAATGCAATCAAAAAAATTAAAACACTTGTTTCTGTATGTTGGAGGAATCCAGTACGTCCATGGAAACTGAGAGAGAAAAGCCCCAGGAACCAAATATCGAAAGTATACACAAAGGCAGTGACTTTACTGTTCAGGAGCATGTTTAATTAGTTCCAACAATTTCTAATTTTGCAACAAATTATGCACGTCAGTGGTTCGCCATAGTTGCCCTTGTCTGTCCATGCATTATGTGCACCCATCAATTCAGAAGCAGGCTTCCTCAGCCTGGTCCTAATTTATTTAAAATCATTCTTCTGGGTTGAGGGTTAGTCTCTGTAGTTCTGATTTTCATCTTTGCACATCATAACAATTGAACTTCAAAACACTTTTCTTGTACAGTTTCACTTAATCTGAAAAGGCCTCACTGCACTTTCATAATTGCATATTTTGCTGTCTAATTCAATTTCTCAGAATCAAACACATGATAATATTTTGAACAGTGTTGTCTTTTGTCCAAAGTAACAGAATGGAAAACACTGATGTCCAAAAACCTTTAAATGGTATATTGTATATATTACAATTGTTAATTTCCCTATACAAGTCATTTCTAATGTATTTCAATATAAAAACATTTAGAATACCCCAACCCATTACAGCATCATACAAAACAAAATAACCAGTACTGAGCATCAGCTGTAGGCTCACGGGTTGTGACCCCTGTTAAAAAAGTAATGTTCCCTTCCCTAAGTCATTATTGTTATGAATCATGGCTAATTTTTAGGCTGAAAATGAAGGTTGGGGTTGTTCAAATAGCTGCTACTCACTGCCTGGGGTGCATTCCGTGCCGTCACATTCGCTGGCAAGTCAAGCAGGAAAGAGCAGGGGTCTGTATCTCTAAGCTGGAATTTTTGAGTTTGCAGGATAATTTGTCAGATTTAAGGTAGTCTGGTCTAAATGTAACTGAACAAAAAAGTCAATTTAAAGTCCATTTAAATTGGGGTACCTTAAATCTAGCTAAACAACAGATCTTGCTTCATGATAGAGATCCCTGGAGGTGAGTAAATAAGAAATAACTAAGGCAAGAGACTAAGACTTGATGTCTTATGGGTGCAGGTATGGTGTTCGGCATGAACTGAACTTAATGGGATCATACATCCAAATGCATAAGATATCTTTGCAAATTTCATAATAATTTTATAAATCACTTAAAAACATCTTCTAAATAAAAAGGTTCCCACATCTTAAGCATTGTAAACATACAATTTAAACATAAAATTTAATAGCTTTCTCATAATTTATTTAAAGGTGTAACTTAAACTATCTCAAAAATACAAGAGCAGCTACATTAGAATATTTATTTTTGCATAACGCTGTCAAAAAATTGTATTCAATTTCCTCTGAGTAACAAAAACCATTAGTCTAAATGGGAAGTATGTTTTTAAATCGGTCTTTTTTTCACTCAGCTGTGGTGGAGTCGGAACGTGAAAACAGGGCCAGAACTGCGTGTTTATAGTCAGTGTCTTATTATCTGGGTGACAGCAGAGATGATGCACTGAATGCTGTGGCACCTCTTATTCCTCACTGAACAGGACAGCAAAATGTACCTACAATGAGCCTGAGGTCTTCATTCACCCCGATTCTATGGGTTCTACGAATTAGATGTCCAGGGGTCTCGTATTACGAGATCTGTGATACTTTGGCAGGGCAACACAGAAAAAGAAAAAAAACATCAGTGCATATTTCACATAATTGCCATTAAATGTTAATAGCAGTCTGCATATTACACTGTTGCCAGTGAAAGGGACTTTCCCCCTGTTTTTCATTAAATGTATTCCATTTTTTGGACAGAATTACAATTTTTTTTTAAATAAGTCTCCGAAACTATAGAGTAGCCTTAAACATGGCGTGAGCCATGTTTTATTATCCTAGCCGAGCTTTAGTGACAAAGCAAGCCGCCTCTTCTCTGGCCAGGTTGCTCTGCCTATCTCCCCAGCCTCTGCTTCTCATTGGCAAGCCTCTCTCTCTTCTTCTTAAAAGCCCCTTATTCTGTTGGCGTGTCCCCTGATCTGTGGAGACTCTGTCGGGCGTTAATGCGTGGGCTCCAGGATCGTTTCGGGGCCGCTCACATCTGGAAGTGGGAAATGAATGTTCTGTCTTTCTGCTCCTGCTGCATGACTCAGATGGGTGGCCTGACTAAGCGAGTCACAGGCTACCCGGGAATGATGAGATGGCTCCTTCCCTGTGACAGGAACAGCACGAAGCAAACGTTATCTAGAGCAAGCTGTTTTACAGAATCTGTCTAATTGATGAACATGCAACAGTAGCATCTTTAGCATTTTCTTCCCAATTTGCTTTTAAGAATCTAATGGGTATTACTGCGTGGGTCCGACGATGAAAATGCATGATGCCTAAAAGTCACAACAGGCAGAAAGAGAGTGAGGCCATCTTTGTGCTGGACCAGGGCCACATAGAGCATTTAATAGGTGTGATGCCAAGGTGCTGGAAATTAAGGAGAAATATGAGCTGGGCCATCAAGGTCTAGGTGTCAAAGGGTTAGGTAATGTCACCAGGGAGGACCGATATGCGTGAGACACATTAGAACCTGCACCGAGAACCTGGACCACACATGGAGGAGAAGGATAACTCCAATTCAGGATATTAAATTACAAAGGAACCAAAGGTCTATTGGTAATAAATTCCTGCTAATTCCAACTAGATGCTAATGTAAATCTGACCTACAGTACTGTGCAAAAGTCTTAGACAATTGAAGGAATTGTTCAGAGCTATTTATCTGGGTTGTAAGTGTATATTTGCCTGAAACAAAAAGTCTCCAAAAAGTCACTCATTTCTTGTTGGATGGCTAGAATTCAAATTCCCAAACCTCTCCTCAGGGGCACCCCAGCCATTCCATGTGTTTGTTAAACCACCAGTTCACTTAGTTAATTAAATAAGTTTAAAAAGTCAATGAGATTGATTAGCCATATGAGGTGTGCTAGTGATCGAGTCAAAAAATACAAGGGTGTATTGGGTGGCTGATTAAAATCCTAGGGTGACTTTAGGAGAGATTTTGAAATGGTTATGCTGGCACATTTTGGCAGACATATCTTCATAGTTGTTATACCATCATCATTTTAACATCATATCTGACTGCCTAAGACTTTTGCATGGTAGAGTATGTTGTATCCAGTTTCCACACATCATGCTTAGACTCACCAAGAGACCCCTCGATGGCAACAGTGGCTGACGTGACAGATGTCCCTTGGACTTCAAAGGTCTTCATGGTGTATGTGTGTTCTGTGGAGTTTAACGAACCTATGGAAAAAGGCACACAAAACCAAAAAGTCAGTACAATCTGAACAATAACTGCTCTCCCTGTGGCCCTTACAGTGGAATTTGGTACCTGAAGCCAAGCTGAAAGTGCTGCCTTTGACCAAACTTTGGACTGGAGAGAACCAGTTCAGGACAGAAGCCACCATTGGGATCTGCCTCAGGACGCCCTGGGGGACACACCATTGGACAGGTCACACTGGGGCCTTCATAGATATAAGGCAGAGCCCAGACCATCTTTGAAAAAGCAGCACAAAACAGAAAAAGAACCTCTTGCATCAGCTTCTCTTCAGTGGCTTTCTGTAGCTGTGACTCGGCCTCCAGGATGCCCCTCTGCACCACCTCTGACATATTCTCCAACAGCTGGTCACAGCAGGACGAAGAGCCGGTCAGAAGAGGCCACATGCCTTTCCAACACAACTAGAAGCTTCTAGTAAAAAGTCAATTAAACTGTTGATGATCACTCTCAGAAAAATTGCTAAAAATGTGTACTTTGCTTTTCACTGGGGCTGCACCCTTGCTATTGTACCTTTTAAGGTACAAAATGGACTCTGAGTAACATCCCAATGGTACAAACAACATTAATGTACCATCAATGTTCTAGAAACGTTCCTCAGAATCCATTTCTGTACCCTAAAATGTACAATTACCTACAGCTATGGGTACAATTGGCAGACCCTTGAGGGTACAGCCCCAGTGACAAGCAAAGGTACAATTTTTTTCTTAGAGTGTACTGAGGGCACTTCCATTATTCAACTGAACGACCTATTGCCCATGAGGTCAGCTCAGTATGTGAGCAGTTGAACACCTGGTTGCTCTCTTCGATGTCTTTACCCACGGCTTCAATGGTATCAACCAATTTCACCACATCAAGGTCCTCTGTTGCCATGCCAACAAAAATACAATTCTTCTCTGCACCAAACTCAGGACCTAATGGATGGGGGGGACAGATCACATATTTAACCCTTGTGTAAAACGCCCTGACAGTATTGTTGTTGTTTCATAAAAATACAAAATTATTTTAAAAGCAAAACTTAACATAGCTGGTAATGAGGTAGACTGCTTTTTCTAGCAACCAACAAATTAAAGCTATGGACATCTTCATTTTACTTAGGGGGTCCACCATAGTGAAGCTAAAGGTTGGGCCATGTCAATCATAGTCTGACCCAGCTCAGGAAGTGGAGGTTACCAGTGGAGAAGTCCACTTCAGCACCCAGAACCTGCAGTTTCTTCAGCAGGTCACTATTGATCTTTTCCACCAGCTGCTGCCTCTTGGAACCATCAGGTTCTTCCCCGCTGGGCTGATACCTACCAGGAACGGGCATTTGTTACTTTTACACACCGTCCATCTCCAGTTTTCTGTCTCCCGCATCCTCACGCTTCTCTGCTCACCTGATGGCACCTAGACCCGGCCAGCTGGGCTCCTCCAGGTACATCAGCCTGTTATGCCGGGACACTTCCTCACAGAAGTGGTGTCTGAGACACGAGGTCCAGCAGAGAAGAGGCACCAAGCTGACCAACTGCTCCACAACAGCGTCCACATCGCTTTCCTGTGTGCCCAACACTGCGGGAACAGTACAGATCGACGTTAGACCCATCACATTGTTTCTCTGGTATACCACAGAACTCTCTCAACGGCCCAATAGATGAGGAGGAAAGTGTTGGTCTCCAAAGTGTGATATTCAAACGTGCGTCACTTACATGCAGAGGTCATCAGCGGGTTGAAGCGGACACAGCTGCCTTCGTCATCCAGGTAGACTACGTCCAGGCCGCTGGCTGAGACTAGCAGCCCCAACTGTTCACCCAGCTGTGAAGGAGCAGCCAAACTGTTAATCAGCACATTTTTGCCGCAGTATTATGCAGTCAGCCAGAGGGAAGAAAACCTGAACCTAGAGGTATAAAGTGAGTTTAAATAAGTAGGAATAGGAAAAGCTTATGATAAGGAGCCACAGACAACATCTTTATAAAATCTATCCTGACATCTAATGAAGGTCAACTGGACTGTAAAGTAAGTCATATGCTGAAGAAGCTACCAGAAAATACGTACGCTTTTACCAGAAAATGATAAACAATCATGCTATGTATACACAGAACATTATTACTACAATAACAAATACCACCCTCAGATATAAATGCATTAATCACTAAACAGTCTCACCCATCTGTTGAGTGAATCCTCAAATTCTCCCTTGTTTTCTGAGAAATCATTCACTGAATCTGCATTAGATAATACAAGTGAGAATGGAGTGCAAATCAGACAAGCCTATAAAACTGAAACAGCAATTACAGAAATACTTTAAAAGAAACACATCTAAATCGATACGGAAAAGGTGATGGACTCTCACCTGTGGGGCTCTCCTGACAGAACTTAAAAACGACCACAGGACAGTTCGGCTCATCCTCCACCTGATAATGCAGCAGGAAAAGAGGACAAATGAAGATAAATGCATAATGCATCACGAACACAGCTGTGAAGGCACGCACAATCCATAATGCATCACAAACACAGCTGTGAAGGCACGCACAATCCATAATGCATCACAAACACAGCTGTGAAGGCACGCACAATCCACAGGCGATAGTTAGTCTCAGATGGAGGAAAATGCAGCAACTAATATGGAAAAATATGTCAAGTGACTTACAATCTGAATATTCTGTGAAAACCTCTGTGAAATATTCTGTGCCAGACTGAAGACAATGTGTTTGCTTAAATAAATTATGGGATGATCTATGTATTAAAAACGCATCTTATCAATACCCAGCGAAGAGTACCTGAATACAGACATTCAAGCTGGGAGCTTGGCTATGATTAGCAGAATAGAATTAAACATGCTCTTGTGATTCTGCCTTTGGAAATGGCGTTAGAAACACGATCTCTAAAAATGTCCTCTAACATAATTTGCAGAAGCTAAATCAAGAAGCACTTGCCTAAAAGGAGACTAAGGGTATTTATGACGTGCTATTTCGATACGGTTTTAATCTCAGCTGAGCTCATAATGGATGTACCAGGAGTAAAAGCAAACTTAAAGACAAAAAATGGGTACTGATTAAGCCCCAGAACGAAGTCTGTAAACACTGTACTTCAGAGTGAGTGAGTGAGTGAGTGAGACTGGCTGAATGAGTGAGTGAGTGAACATAAAGGACACGGCGCAGGTGGAAAAGTATGAAAAAAGGCAGGTAGAGGGTTGATCCCACCTAAAATAAACAGAATAAGAGAGCCCAGAACATCCCACAGAAAGCCTCAGAGATTAGAGGGACCAAGAAGTGCGACAGCACAGCCTGAAACCAAGGTACCCATTCTCACTCCCGGTGACACACTGGACAGAATCACAACGGAGCTTCCCAGTGAGTATGTCTAGTGGTTTACCATGTTCAAAGCCTCGAGAAGAGACATCTGTTTGTCACCCTGATAACAGTAACACAGAACACACTCTTTGTCACATTTGGCTACTAAGTAGCACTCAGCATGACATCACGTGGGGGAACGAGCAAAGACACCCCCTCCAGGTGAACATAGCTTCAATAGCAAACATACCTCAGTAAGACCAGCTTCTGCAGTAAATACAGTGCCTTCAAGAAGCACTCACAGCTTTGCAAGGTTTCCATATTGTGTTATGCTTTTAAGCTTTAACCCAGGACACTTCCAGACAGTCCAAATACATGCTCAAGGCACTGTCTATGCTCCCGTAGTGCCATTTAGATGTTCCACTACATTGAATGGTCTTAAATATGTTACTATATATTTTATTCAATTCGGTCAACAAAATGACCCACCGAAGTTTTAATGAATGCCATCTTCTTCAGACTTTCTAGGAGACGATGACTCTGAAAGGAGGAAGAGTTAACAGGGAAATACACTGGGGTGTAAACAACTTTAATTGTTCCCGCCACCCACCCCGACAACTTTTACTGTTGCCACCCCCTTCCCTCCCCACCATTTGGACAACAATTGCACCATTGTTGAAATCAGTAGGGGGAGGAGCCCAGGGGCCTCCAACCATGTTAATATGCCTGTAAAGATCAGGTGCACAACACAACGTTTCCATTACGGTGATGGAGAAAGAGAGCTTCCCACCAGCCCCAAGGCATGCTGGATCCTCTCCACTATGCCACTGTGGCCAAGGTACTGCAGGGACATCCAAAGAGGAAGTGGCTGCAGATTCTCTCCCGGCTGAGTCCAAGACAGTCCTGCAGCAAGAGCCTAAAAGGCCGAAAGGATGGATAAATCAAACTGAAAAAAAATTAAACTAACGTCAGATTCTACAGCCCTCCTATATTTTAACAAAAAGGCATAGAATATCCAGAATCTACAGCCCTTCTATAGTTTTAACAAAAAGGCACAGAATATCCAAGTCGTGGCCAAATCAGGGTGCTCTTGAACACAGACGTACCAAGGCCGGGTCCTCGTGCCTGTAAAGGGTGACAGCTGGCATGGAGGGCAGTCCGAGCCACGGCCCCAGGGTCAGAGTCATGCTGTCACACTTCGTAGCTGGCTGTCGAGATTTAGGAACCACATTGGCAGAAGGGCACACAAGCATGCCTGGCCTTCCCATATGTACACAGAGTCCGTAAGGAAACATCTAGACATACCAAAAGTGGGGAAGGGACACAGCTCAAAGCCAGCATTGCTAGATTGACTCTGGAACAAAAAATGGTCCATGAGTTAATATTACCCTACATGTACAAAGCAGTCCATTCATAAAGCATTTTATAACATCTAGAGATACTAAACAGCTTATCCGTGACCATCCCCTCATAGCATCCATTACACTATCTAACAAAATAATTTGCTAAGTATTTGCATATGTTTATCAGGCAAACAGCCATGAGGTACAGTATGACTGGTGTGTGTGGTGGCCGGTGTTTGTCACTGAGGGACACACCCACCCTTCTACATGAAGCCACATGCTGTGCTGGTCACAAAGGTCTCTCAGATGATCCAGCCTGTCAGTGTGTCCTGCAGCTGCCGTCCCTTGGGGTTACATGCGGAAAATTATCGTACGATACTAAACCCATGCGGGACATCACACATAAATACTTACATAAACAAAAACTTCAAGTATATTTTTCTTTCAGAGAGGCAGCGTGGGTGACACAAATGATATAGTCATGCTGTATTTATTTTGTTGCACAAGAGAAAAATATTTAAGGCACGTGAAATTTGAATTTCCAAAATGCAGCTGTTGTGGGAATCGTGGAAGTTTCAGATCCACGTGTGTCGCATGACCTCATCCACATATGCAACATTCCAGAAACAAAACAGATGTGCCATCACATAGAATACAGAGGTAGGCTCCACACTAACCAGCATTCGCTATCAACAGCAGAGGAAGCTTCCCTGATTCCACGTCCTCCTTAATGATCCCGTCAAGAAGGAAACCGTCCTACAGTAATAAAAACATTACCAAATAAGAGCAGAGCTAACGTATCACCCTCACTGCCACCACACCCCAAAAATTCAAATCTGAAAAAGCAGTCTGCATTTCCCATACATCCCTGGGAAAAACCGAAAGACCACTCCATATTTTGTACAAATATGCTTTTTAAAATCCTGGTTTAATCCTGGTTCTGCTGGCAGAAGGTTAAACTGCAAGGCAGGCTGCTTCCAGGCTCAGTGATTCTAAGACAGCAGTACACGAGAACAAGGTGAAGCAGGAGACACTGGGAACGACCAAAAACTAGTCAGGTAAAGGGCTGAAGCAGCTTTCTAATGCGGCAGATGACCATCAGCTTATCCGGTAGTGCCTCATAAATCGGAGGATGACGTCAGGTGACATTCTAAAAGAATGGGAAACATTAAGTGGTGTGAATTGCACTGCTAGGGCAAGTTTGTTACGGGCTCCTAGAAGCAGGACTGAAGTCCAGTAAAGCAAAGAAAAAGCCCTTCATGAATGAGAAGCAAGGAAGAACCAGGCTGGAGTTTGCAAAAAAAATTTATATTTTACACAGACACACACCCATAAATTGAGAAATGAGTGAAACTAAAACTTTTCCTGTGGTATCTTGATTTTTTTCCAGAGCTGTATGTATATTAAAACATTCCACAAATTTTAAGGTAATGTCATAGGCAAGTGGGTCACAAACATAACATTCTTACCATTTGGTGTTCAGATCCAAAAGCGGTATTACATGGCACAGTATAAAGGCATGACAGGGGCAGGCCCAGCTGGTGAGAAAAGGAAGACACCAACTATAAGAGACATGCCACCATTACGGGACAGAAACTCAAGGCCAGAATGACACAGAAGAAGCACATAGAACTCTCTAAAAAAAGACAAATGGCTTATTCCCATCTACTATGTACAGCAGCGCACTTGGTCTATTGCTACATCAGGTTCCCTTTTATGCATCCAGCAGGCTTTATCAATACACATTGTATGGAGAATTACTCATCATTGCTTGTACCCCTACACATAGCAACGCCTCTGAGGTACTCAACATCAATCACACTAATGTTCACTATCATCTTCTGGGGGAATAGTCTGGTTGTGCTCATCTGCAGAGAAAGGACAACACCTCTCGAGAGGATAGGCATTCCTCTGTGTCCAGGGACACAAGGGGAATACATTACAATGGTGCCTTACAGGGCATATACAAGAGCAGGGCCATAGAGGCACTGGCCCCAGCTGAAAGCTGACTGGGTCCCAGAGTGCTCCCTCCTTAGTCATTCACCAATTCAAAACATTTCATTAGCTAATGATATAGTAGTTTGTGTGAATTACGCTTATGCTCTCCACCTTGAGAATCCTAGAATAGTCCTTGGTGCCCCAAGACAGAAGAGGTCTGTGATCTCAGATTTCGTATGTGTGTTCACTTACTACCACTCTTTGGTGAGGTACGCACACACACACACACACACACACACACAAGGATAAGCATCAGCACAACAAGTTTGTCTTGGGGACCCTACACAGGCAAGATGCTGAAACAGTGATCACTGCTCATATGACATCGTATTGGCAAAATAACATTGATTCTGGTTATTTCGCCTGAAGTATATGGCCATCGTCACCAGGGGCGGATTAACGCACAGGATAGATATGGCTTAAGCCTAGGGGCCCCACGTGTGCCAGCCTGCAAGGGGGCCCCCATTGGCACGGAGGGGGGCGGGGTTGGGGGGCCCACAGACTACTGTAGCCTAGGGGCCTCTGTACACCTTAATCCGCCCCTGATCGTCACGCAATACAAACAGGTTTTTTTACTCTACATTAGATAAAAGGGAGAAACCGAGTGACAACCCTAACCTGCTTAACCAGTTCAAACCAAACAAGATGCCATAATTTTCATCATACTTTTCTGGAGTAGCAGATATTGGTCACAACTAGAAGATTATTTTAGACTTTTTAAATCTCAGGTAAACCTTCCCATATCATCAATGAGAGAGGCAGTGTGCGTCATAACTGTCGCCCCCTACCTGGCTGCAAAGGTATTGACCCAGGCCAGGCCTGCAGGCAGAGCTCTGGTAGATGACAGGATGTCTGCAGCCGAGCACGGTGACACCTTCAGTGGCAAAGTCCTTGTAGCGGGAGTGGATGACAAGGCGACACACTTTTAGAAGGCCCTGTCTGTCATCCTCATGGAAAGACACGGAGCCGTTTTCGTACCTGTGGACAAATTACGCCGGCCATTCGCACTGTGGAGCTACTCACTTGCTGGAGAGCCCTTAAGGGCACAGTGTTCATGTACATTTGCATTAACACTACCCAGAACTGAGTTTGGGAGAATCTCTTGGACATTATTTCCATATGCAAAAACCACGCAACTGGGACAGGCTGTCATTGTGCAGTTACTGATGTCCTGAGTAAATCACCAGCTCATAATGTCGTTTTCCACTATAGGAAGAAACAAAAACAAGGCCAAACACGGATTATTTGTTTTTCATTACACCTCAAACCAGTGGTGATGAAGTGTAAAATGGCAACAATCACAGTGTTAACCTTCTTAAAAATTACCATTTCCTGTGGTGATAAAACATCTTACAGCCAAGAAAACCAAGACAAAAATAACACCATCTCATATCAATGTCAGCCCACATGTGAACATGACCACCGCACATGCAGGGCAGAGGCACACAGGAGCAGCCTGTCCAGCTGGTGACACTTTTGGACTTCACAGAATTGCTCTGTAAGCCTCAGTAAGGCAGAAATATCTAACCACGCATCCCTACCTGAAGAGGCGGGAGAGCCAAAGTGTGACATCGGACTGGACCCGAGTGGCTAGTCGTCTCTGCTGCTCCCGGTGCAGCATGGAGAGATACGCTGCCACACTGTGTCCGAGGAGAGCCACATCCCTGGCCTTCCTGTCACCCTGCACCCTGCTGGACAAACACGTCACTATTCACTATTCACTATTCACCATTCCTACACCCTGGCTGCTTGTTTGCCAAACCGTCGGGTTTTAAAATTCAACTGTGCTGGAATCTCAGTATATTACCCAGCAGCGTCCCAAGCTGGCAAAGATGGTTCCTCCGAACAAATCAAAAGACAAGCAGAGAGCAGCGTTATTACCATGGACGGTCCTCGGTCTCTCCTCCACACGTGAGGCTCTGAACTAGCTGCAGAATACTGACGGCGTCCTGGCCACTGGAAAGTTAGGAGACAGAGCAAGAGCTTTCATACAGGTACAGCAGATGTGATGATGTGAAAGGTTTTGGAATTAAATCCTTACGTCATAGACTTGGGAAAGGGCGCGAGTACAGAAACCTAGAGAGAGCATATGAAAGAGATGCATCTAACAGCCTGTCAGCTGCCTTACCATCGCTGCAAGGGTCCTGGGATGTGCCTCCGAGTGGCCCTCTGCTCCCCCGGAACCTCACTGGGGGAGGAAAGCCGGATTACACATTGTCCAAAAGTGACTGAAGCAAATAATTTAAAAGAAAGAGGAACGGCACCTTCGACCATCTTCTAGAATCTTCATAGCCTCATCGAGGTTCTTCACCACTTTATTAAGCACAGGGTCGATGACAATCTAAGAGATCAGATAAATAAATAATGAAAAACAAGCAAAAAACCCCAAAATTAAGATGCATGTATGCATTTATTTGACTGACATATGCAGCTTAGTACAAAGGGTAAACTTTAGTCTTTTTATGTTTGCACATTAGACACTGATATTGCAGTGTCACAAACTTTGGTTGGCTGGCTAGAGTGAGATTAAATTCGAGACAAGTCTGCACACTTATTTTCATGTATGTAACAGTTTGATTACCGTGTAAATAGTAGGGTTTGCAAACTGCCCCAACGCTTTTGATGCATCCAATTTTTGGTTTTTAAATGTAATAATAGAAATTTGCCATACAATTTCTTGCGGGAGCATAAGAGTCAGAAAGCATGACTGTCACGCCAGATGTGTGTGAGTTGGCAACCACTGATATTTTCCTAAAATGTGTCAGATAAAGGTCAGTGGGTTGTCGTTTACAGGGTAGTGATGAGCGAGACCAATCCTTTTTGTATAATTTCAGTTCGATCTAAGGCTGGTGTCACTGGTACCAATCCCTATGCCTGTAACCCTAACCCCGGGGGGAGGGCGCAAATTCTATTCCTTCTTCTCTCCCCTTATGGACCGCCCTGCCCGGTAGAACCTGTCCTGCTCCCTATAGTAATACATTTAACACTTTACAAACATTTAAATTACCAGGTTAAACAATCGATATTTTAAAGGCAGGATTGATTTTCAAAATGAAAACATTCAAATCGAAAGAATCGATATTTTACTGTCGATCCGCGCATCAATAGTGCATTATATATTTACGGAGCAAAACAAGTTCCCTAGTAGTTATGTTGTATGTAACCCATTGGCTTGCATGTGTTGTTAGTCTACGGATAGCTATTCTTAATGATATGAAATCAATCTGACCCACATTTCTAAATTAAATTCTCAAAATATCGCAATATTATTAAATTGAGATTTATAACACGAGCGCCAAAGTAAGTATTTGCGGTCTGTTATTACAAGTCATTATTTGGCAATCATATTAAATGGGTTATACACATAATAAATAAAGATCAAACAACACAGATTCGGGAAACTAATATCCTCAAATCCTAAAATAACATCCATACGGATCCCCTTTAGTGCTGCCTAAATTAGTCAAACTGCAGTTTTCTAGTTTCTTTAGTCCTTTCGCTTAAATTTCAACACCACGTAGAAAACGACGTGATCGCCTATGATATGACAGCGGCTGAATATTTAATCTAAAAGCTGGTGATCAGATCGACGTCGCGCCGGTCTGAAAATAAGATGTTTTCGCCGTGTGAGGGCGGCGCATATTGGGATAATCTAATTTTGGCAAGCCCTATATCTGATGGAAATAAACGCTTTCAGCAGCTTACCTTTTCAGGCTGGTCCATCTTATTGTTGTCAGGGACATAAACGTGCCCCGGCCGCGTTCTCTGTATTGCAGTGTGTAAAATAACAGGCACTTGGTTACATGTTCGGGTTTATTATAGCGCGGCAGCAACAGCAGAAAATGCGTCTGCGTGTCCCTCAACTACACACTGGGTAATTAACTTCCGGGAAAGAAAGAATAGAGAAAGAAAAGCGCTTACGGTCCAGCGCTAGCCCCGCAGTCCGCCGTGTGCGCCATGCTACTATATCATTTAGATCATCCCCGTATTCTGCTTTTCACAAAGTCCACAATCAGCGCATCAGCACTATTTGTGCATCATGGAACTGTTCACATATACTGTTCTGGGCGATTTATGTCACACTTCAATGGTTGCGAATTTACCTGCCTGCGTAATGTCATGTCCGCCGCCCATGCACTGGAAAAGTAGTGTATAGTTATGTTTATAAACCGTGTAACGCGCTAGTTTATTATAATTATAATAATAATAATAATAATTATTATTATTATTATATGGGACGAATTATGTCGCGCTTTGCCACATGTGTACTTTAGTTTGCAGGCTTATGGTTAGGCTTGGTTATAGCAAGCTTTTATATATATATATATTGCCCGTGAAGTTGTCAGGCTGTAATCCGAAAGTTGTCAGGTTGGCTGGTACTTTTATTCATACATGGTTTATTCATTTACCTTTAAGTGGGCCTCCAAAGTGAAATTGACTTCAAAAAATCCTCAGTCAGATCACAAAATATATTTCGTTTTACATTGGTTTTACTGTGATTTGAATAGTTCATTCGTCGTTTTGCTGTTTTCTGGCAACATATAAAAGCAAATAGACATACGTCCCACCTCCCGGAAGTTCTGGGAGTCTCTCCATGGCTTGTTAATAGCGGCTCCCAGCTATCAGCATGCGGGCGACTCCTGAAACTTCCGGGACAGGTGGGATGTCTGCAGATACCTGATTTCATTCTTGAAAGTGAATTGTTAATGTCCTCTCTGTATTAAAAATTTAAGAAAGCATCCAAACGGGACCATGTCTTCCAGTTGTACATGTGTTAGTAAGCCTAATGGCTCATCGACCAGTTACCATAAAAACACAGGATGTATAGTATCCGAATCCAAAACACAACATATGCTGATATAACCAGTATGCATAATGCTGGTCATGCTGGTAACCAGTTATGCTGGTCTGTGCTGTTTTTTTTCCCAGCAGAGCATATCCCGGAGATTTGTCAGTGAGATGAGTACAAGTGTTAAAAAACGTGAGCCTCAGGGGTAAACTGTGAGACTTGACACATGTGCAGTGTGATGCTGTATAGATCCTCTGCAACTATTAAGATGAATGATAAGGTAACGAATTGGATGGTGTTTGAGGTCCGGAGTGCTCCTTTTCACTCACCGACGGTCACCAGTAGAATTTAACCGAGGGACCCCCCCAGGTGAGCACCTGCCCCAAGGAAAGTTTTTGTACGGCAATGGTTTAAACGGTATAACTAATAATATATGTTTCTGCTATTCTTGGCCATATGAAAAAAGCAAGCTAGCCAGGTGCCTTACATATGTTTTAAATCAATGAGTTGTAGGCTACAGCTTGATATTTACTGAACTGCATTATTCCGGGGAATAAGGTTTAGGGGTCAAGCTCATTACCGCAATAACTAAAATAGACAAATTGCACCAAAATTGAACCTGTGCTGCAGAGTAATATTGGAGAGAAGGACAGTCTCAACCTCTTGATCTGTGGCCTGAACTATGAAGCGGGGTTACTGGCTTACTGGGGTAACTTGTCGGATTTAAGGTACCACAGTTTAAATGGACTTCATATTCGTTCACTTACATTTTGCCGAGACTACCTTAAATCCGACAAGTTACCCTGATTTCAGTAACCCCGCTTCGTAGTACAGGTCACTGGCTAGTGAAATAACTCAAAAAGTATTTCATAGATCTTGTTAACACTTCAGAAAAACGTTATATGGATGAAGATCTCCCGATTTCATTTTGTGACAAATTGCACCAAAACTGAAGTAACAGCACTAGGTGGCTGCAAAGGGTAGCTGCAGATGATGCTTGATCTTGTGAACAGTGGCTTAGTCTCATTTGCCAAACCAAGTACATATTACCCACTACCACAATTGGTTTAGCTCAAGTATCCAAGGATGTCCTGTTCCTTAAATAAGCTAAGTGACATCAGTCAGTGACAACTAATGTTTACGTCAAACACGTGGACATCTGTCAGCTTATCAGAGTGCAACATGCTTCCTAAGAAGTTTAAGTGCTTAAAGTTACGCAACAAATGTTGACTTAGCCTAGGCTAAAGTGACTACCCCAAACACAACTACCACAAATGATGGCATAGTTGTAGCGCGTTTCTTGTTCACGTCTTCAGATATCAAGTATGTTCCATTGTTTTCAAGAAATGCCCAGGCACTTCGCATTTTACGTCAGCATATGTCACCAAAGTGTGTAGTACCTCACTGTGCCTGCACTTAAGTAGGGTAAATGGGGCAAAGCCAGTAACTCTAAAAAGTATTTGATGGATGTTTTTAAAAGGTTGGGGGGCAGGGGTAACAGGGGCCTCTGGGGAACAGGCCTACATTGTGCTTGTTCCAATAGCATCTTTGTTAAGAAATCGTTTTTCACGTTTATCTTATAAAACTAAGACCACAGTGCTTTATATATAATAAACCATGAAATGGTCATGAGAGTAAACGTGGATGAATGGAAGGATTTTGATATATGATTTGATGATTCATTAAAATATTTGAAGGCTTGCATACTTCAGATGAAGGCAAATTGACATGTCAACAGCCAGAACATTTTTCCCAACACTGTCAGTCCAACAGGTTGTGAAATCATTGTCTGTAAGTCAAGTTTCAAATTTTATCTTCCAGCACATGCATAAGCAGGTTTAACAAAACTGCCTTTAAGTAAAATTGCTTCCTTTCAGGATTTGAAATGCTTCCAAAAAAGTTACAATGAAGTCGTCAACTGTAATCAAATTGAGAAATTAACAATTTACATTCTCCAAAGGAGGGTATGATGGACATACTATATGACGATTGTCATGCCGATTGCGTGGTAATTGCCATGATTCTACTCCTTTGGGTACAGTCAATCGCACTACTTTTAAATAATGCTGGTAAACGCGTCACATTACATAAAAACATTTTAATTAAACAATAATCCACTAATGGCACAAAAATGCACAGGTGTTGTGAGGTGGATGACCAACTACTTCAGGGAGTACAGTGGAAACCAGCTTGTCTCACCCCAAACCCATGATACTCAAAACAGGACAGTTTCCCACTAAGGGTAAAATGGAAGGTGAGGGACAAATTAAGAAGCGAGACAAAATGGAGCTGCAGTACAAAAAAAAAAGATAAACACTTTGAAAGTATCTGTATGAACTTATTCACCCTTTATCAGCGGCTGAATTTGTTTTTAATTTAAATTCAATGAACCTTATCTTAACATGTTCTCTCCAAGATCATTCGGCTGCTGGTTACACTGATACTTTCCTGATGCTATCTGTGGCCTGTCATTTTATATTTTATTAAAGAAAGTAGTTCTTTATTGTTCATGACCTGCAATCTACTTATCACTCTTGGATCAAATTTTCCAATATGATACTTGCACATGCAAGGCGGTGGGACAAAAGATGTGAATAACGAAAACAGAAGTAGGGTAGAAGCTGCTGCAGCCCCCAGGGGATTATGGGAAACTGTCATCATCATCCTCTGCCATCTCCTTGGCAAATTCCAAATCTTGCTGCTCCCTCTCACGTCGCTCCTGTTAAGGCGACACAAGTCAAACTATGACATTGATGCAATTTCAAGGCACAAATACCGTGTCTTAAGACTGACTCCTAGTCCTGTTTTAAGGGCATGATTTCAGATGATCTCATATTTATTTGACTGAAAAGACTGGATTATTTCTTCAGACACTCCAGCACAGCAAATTTTACACAAGACTGCCACCTAGTGGCAGGATTTGCTCACTTCCTCCTTACTAAAAGACCATTGGTCCCAATTAGGTCCCAATTAGTCCACATATGTGAGTTGGGGAGTAGGGGGAGACACCCGTGAACCCAAACCGAACTCTTAGCAGTATCATCTTCCGTTAAGCTTTCCTTTTCAGTACATGCAACAGGAGGCGCTTAATGTGAAAGTAGTTCTGGCTCAGTGAACAAAACACAAACCTCTGCAGACTCAAGGTCTTTATTGTAGGACTTGGGTGGAAACCTCATTGCCTGAGGGACAAAAATTGCAAAAAGTGTTACTTGTGTCTGTCTGGTCTATAATCACAACATGACAACTGGATTATTAATGTCTGGCAACATGCACCAAAAAACATTTGCAGAACCTGCATACTCTTAAAAATCTGGAGTAGAGATCATGGGACTAATTCAGCTCATTGTGCAGAGAACACTGGAGCTCACATGCAGACAGCTGAGGGGATTTGTAAAGGTGGTTTACCTTGACGGACATGTTGTGGATGTCCAGGCAGAAAGAGATCCTCTGGTGAAATGCCAGTTGCGGTTCCCTGGTGCCGTAGATGTCCATAGTCTCCTTGGACTGAACGTAGCCCTTCTCATGATTGATGCTAGCTTCAATTACACCATCCCGGATTGCCTGGCCCAGCAGAAAACGCATAATTAAGTGCCAGGCAGGGAGAATAATTTGTTGCCGTGAAAAGTTTGAATCGTAATTCCCAATCCCTGGCAACGTTCTAGGCTGTGAAAGATCTCATCTTGCACCAGCTGTTGTAAGACTTATAAGGATCAGACTTCATGCTACCAGGTGCTGCAGATGGTGGGCAGGAACAATGTAGCATCACACACCTTGGCAACAATGAACTCCGCATCCTCTGGACTGTCCAGCTGCAGCTTCACGGCGATGTCGGCCAGAGAGATGCGCGAGTAGGACAGGCTGATCATGCGAACGCCTGGGCAAAGAAACAGGACTAGAATGATTTAATCCAGGAAGAAACTCATTCAAAATGATGGATCACCTTACAGTCCGCTGTTTATAAACCTGAACTCTCACTGGAGCAACAGATATAAGGCTCTCTCAAAACTAACAGGGGTTTAGGGCAAAATCTTTATTTGACCACACAGCCAGCTTGGTGGCACATAATCAGCACAATTTGCATTTACTGTTCACCAGTGTGTTCCCTTACTACATACACATGGCCAGGTCTGTGGCTCTGACCAGCAAGCATTACTTATACACACACACACACACACACACACACACACACACACACAAAATTAAAGGCACTGAACCTCCTAAAGAACAGAATTACTCAAAATGTACAATAGCCATGTCACAATGACTTAAGGACCCAACATTTTAC